TGGAGGCTTGCTGACACCGCGCCTGACAGCAACCAGGTTTCAACGGCTATCGCTAGATGCTAGGAGGTCGCATTGAGGAGACGACTGCATTCTGGCCACGCCCGAGAGGAATCGACTAGACATGTGCTAGCTGTCCGCTGGCCTCCAGTGTCTATCACCGACAATTGATAGCTGGGGGACGCATGTTCGCCAATTGTGGCGCGCCCCTCCAACGCATTGCTCAGACTGGGAACATCGTTGCTTTGCAAGCTCTTAAACAAAGCAAATATAGGTCCCGGACATATATACAACCAGCATCGACTCAGGCCGCACGTTCGCAGTCGGTCGTTGATCAGTGAGTCCACTCTCAACCTGGAATCAGGTCATCAGGTTATCGTAGACTGTACTAACCTAGTCCTCCTTGTCCTGTTCGCGTTTCAATTGCAATAGCGCTGACCTGGATTAGTTTTTTTACTCTCCAATACACGTGCTCATTCGTGTCGCTATGGTCTGATTTTCTCGCAACGAGACCTATCGCGTCCACTGCTAACCGCGCTATTCTTACTGCTATGACCAGAAGTTCAGCTGCGCCCACGAATCGTCAAGTCATGACAAGACATGTACCTTGTCGCTTTCGAGGCAGGCTCTTGTGGATAGCTCATTGAGTCTGCGCCAGCGTCTCGCCTGCCCCGGATTGTTCCCGAGGCGCAGGTGGCAGCGAGTGTGACTTCAGTTGCGCGGGTAGGCGAAAGTCGGCTACGATCAGCACAACTTGGATGATGTGATGTCTTTGCACATCAACCGCGACGCGCTAAACACACAGCAGGGTCTTGTTGCGTACGGTACGATCACGGCTCAGTCGCAAATACCGCATCGATCCTACTTTTGGAGTGGACACGATGACTGCGATGGTGCCATGTAACATTCTGCAGCATCTGCTCGACCATCACACCGACGCGCAAATGCACAGCGGCGTCACGATAATCCTTCCATGTAGCCTGTATCACGTGTCGATATCAGCCTCGGTTTTCATCGCCCGTTCCGGCACCGAACGGCGTCGCGGTTGGAAAGGAAAAAGCGACTCAACGTCTCCTTGTCGCGAACGCCAACTTGAGTCAGCATGCTCAAAGTCCAGATCCTGTTTCGTTAACGTTGAGAAAGCCGGCATGCCTTCGACCTGGGAGAAACATCATGACGATCAAGCCCTCCCGGCGTTCAGTCTACCTAGGATCACCCCCGACATGTTCTATTGACTGATAGTGTACCTTGGCGCTATCCGCGGCGAGATCCACCCTCAGCATCCATTTACTCCTCGTGTTGGGCATTTTCGCAGGTCGGCAAGCTCCATTAGACCTACTTCCACACTGCACAGGTGCGCAAATGGGTGCACATGACGGGGATGATCTACACCGGAAGATGAGGTCCCTGGACGATCCTGGAGATCCGGATCGTACGGATATTTCCTGCTAGCAATGCGCTAAGCGGCTATCTTCCGCGGAGCGCAATGAATGCGAACATCGTGTGCGGCGAACTCCTCCCCAGGGACCAGAGGGAAAGCTTGTTTCGGGGCTACCTCGGCCAATGTCGAGTCCTCATTTGTCAAGCGTCGTGGAGGGGTCCGGCCCGCGCAGCTGTAGTCGAAAATGTAAGTGCGGGCGCCACGTGAACTTGGTTGCACACCCAACCTGCAGTTTTATTCTCCTGAGATTAACTCCAGCGCAGGACTTATTCGCCCCGTTGCAGTAGCATCCGGAGCATTAATCGATGTTTCATCCATGACCCTGCCTGGGCGCTGTAGGCGGACGTTCAAGCGGACGGCACCCACGACTATCGACTCGCCGGACTTGTAACTAAGGACATCGTCTGTTGCACAGTTTCGTGGCACCTGACATTCCCGTAACTCCCGCTGTTGGCTTCATACGACGTTACCTGTCTCGTCGCTTGCACCTCGGCACAACATCCAGGAACATCACTTCACCCATCATGCGTCACAAACGGCGGCGCTGTTTCTTTATCGTGTGGCTTCAAGCACGCCGTCGGTACCCTTAAACATCACGGCTTTCATCCGCCATGGCGTATTGCGATTGGCCAGCTAGCTGCTAGCACATCAATAGATCGTCTAACATTGCCGTAGAACAACGCCACCACACACCGTCAGTTTTCGATTGTGCTGTCAGTTTGGGCCAAGATATGGGCTTGCCAAAGTTGCCCGGGAGGTCATACTGTAACCCCAACTGAGAAAGCACCCTCACCCTGTCAATGACTCAACGATGCCTGAGGGCTGGACTTTCTCTCAGCGGCGCCTGCAACGTCACTGTCTAGTTACCTCATACCTTCTGGATCTACTGGAGGCGACTAGCCATGTGCTACGTTCTCGTGTTCAACAGTTTCACTAACCGGCTGTATCCTTAACTTTGTCGCCCTGATGTTCAGCCTCGTGGTTTTTGAACGAATGAGCTCCGGCGGGGATATAATCCGAATGTTGAATTAATCCTATTCGCACAATGGACTCTCGATTATCGACGAAATTTCCTGCAGTATGGTACGACTTTGCACCAGCACTGTTTCAGCCCACTGCCAGTTGGTAGCCGCATTGAATTGCATGCTCCACTGTCTCTAACGTCGAACCAGACTCGTGTGCTGCAAGTGCAATACATTGCGGAATGACGTGCGTTAGAAACCTTCCTGGCGCAGAACTTCGTGTAGCAGGATAGACGAATCCACTCAACAAGATCGGAGACATCTGCCAAACCCGGCGAATTTTCGAGACAGACATCAAGTCCGCATTCGTACGTACAAGCGCGGCAAGATCACGCACTTGAGCTGTCAGCTTTTCACTACTGTACTATGACCGTTGCTTCACTACTGCTCCGCCGTTGAAGATGTCGGCCTAGACTAAGTAGCCCAGGAACATGCCCTTCTGACGAAGTTTGTTCAGCCACCAGTCCACAGCCCCTCCAAAAAAGTGAGCTCGTCACAGAGGTTCGCTCACGCCCGCACCGCAAACGCAAGGGACACGCTGTTTCACCAGGCGGGCCACTCCGTATTCAAAAATCCTTCAGGGCGTCTAGACACGGATCCGCGAGGTCTTCCCGACTACCTCTACTCCAAGGCCCTTATGCGGTTGACGTTGTGTGCGCGGATCAAGAGACAGCCTTAGCGGGCCTTTCCGCCCTGGATGCTCATCACGGTCTCACCACGTTCATCCGTGTATTTCTTCATGTTGGTTTGAACTAACTAGGAAACTTGGTTGTTTCAGACATCTTTGCCACGTGGGATGAAGGTGGAAATTGCGGGGAGCTGGGTCGGACAGAGCGAAACTGACTCATTCAGCAATGACATCCACACACTTCCAGCGGAGCAGTTGGCCGATGACGATGGTAGTCTGCTACCGATCATTTTCGGCTTGGCGAAAGACGAAGAACATCCGATTCGGACGACTGTGGTGCGGTACTAAGCTACAACGCCACGACGAATCTCGATGACAGCCCTAAAATCTAGGCACGCTACATCGTATTATGCAACACCAAGCTGCACCGCTCACGATGCGTCGATATGAGGAAACATCCGCGAGCTGCACGGCAATACGCTCTCGCATATACACACCAATCAGGAAGCTGCCAGCAATCTTATCTCCACGAAGCTCTATTCTGTCCTCTCGATCGCTGCAAGGGGTCTGGTCCGGTAGGTTTGATCGAAGCCGAAAGTTTGACCACTGCAGGCATTGCATGATCGAACACTTCGGTGCGGACCGTTTGTCTGGACAGGACATCCGCAAGTTACGTGTCAACCTTACCACCCACCATGCTGCACAGCTCGCAATCCTGCAGGTAATTAAAGTCTTTAATGATGCCATGATGATCACTACGCAACATTTAGCGGCGCCGTTGGTCTGCTCTTTGAAACAACTCCGATGCTGCAAGATGTGCAGGAGCGATCTGGGCACCTAGATGAGAGAGCTGGATATCGATACCCTGCGCGTGCGTCTCCCCCAACGAAACGCTTGCAGAAATGATTGGGCACCAGTGCGACATACCATCAGATACCCCATTGCCTCTTGGAGTAATGCCGGGACATCCTCATCTCCCATTCCAAGCTTGTGGATGCCCCAATGTGGTCGAGCAAACAACGAGCATCCTTACATATCATGCCCAACAACGCCCAACAGGGCCAGCACGTTGGAACTTGTTGAGAAGAGTCACAAAACCGGTTGCAGTCGTGAGGGGTGGCACCCGCACTGGTTGTTTAGGGCTGACTGTGTAGCACTCGTTTCGTTCATGATCAGCAGATAAACGGTTGCTGATCTCGCCGAGAGAAGGACCGAAGAAGCCGTTGGATTGACATGGGGAGGCTTCGCGCCGTCCACGGTTTTTTGGCTTATCTCGGGGGATCTGTGACTGGGGTTTTGCAAGATTGTCTCTGGTCGCGATCTCTGCGGTGTTACTTTTTGGGGTAATGGCGCTGTTGGAGCTCGCACAATGCACGCAATCGGGACGTTGTGGTCAGTCAGCCAATACAGGGGATGAGGCAATAAATAGTGATGCTGAATGCGGGTGCATGGAGCAGTGCTTGAGCCGCGTCGTTCATGCTGGGTTGAGCGGCTCCAGCTGCAATGAATGGCTGACGAACCCCGCAAGGGAATGCGCGTTCGCTCTTACAGGCGCTGGACGCGCACTGCAACGTCTCCCGGGAAGCTGCCTTCGCAATGTGGCATCCATTTGCCCGCGATAGCGTAGTCCCTTTGGGAGTTCCGTTCCTCTGGAGCCTCATTCTTTTTCGAACCGCTCTCCTCCGTTGGCATGCTAACTGCCGTGTTCGCCCAAAGTCTGACATAAGATCAATGTGAGCATGATCAGTGCACGTGGGAGGTGGCAATCGCCCCTTTTCGCATCCCTTTCACAGTGCATGGCGAGATTGAATACGTGTGGTTGCGAGAGACGTAGCGTATTGATATTGGGCATTTGTACATAGTGAGTGTTGGTGGCGATACATGTCCGCAGCAAGTAAAATGGATGACGAGATTACCAAGGCGAGGGCACTTTCGACCCTTCGCCCAAAACGTCGGTTGATGCGACGGATGAGCTTCCTGGCCTTCCTAGCATTCTGCCATGCGCTTCTAGGAGTTTCTCCTGACAGAAGGCGATGAGCCTCTGGCGAAACTCAGGATTGTAATGTGTGCATAGCTCGTAGTGATCACAGTCGGCTACCATCATCTGTTCGTTTGGCAAGCCAATCTTGGCTAATTCGTAGGTAACGATCTATAGCATATGTTAGAATCATATATGGCCAATATACATTGTTCGTGGTGTGATGTGTAATCTTCTTATGACATACCACATATTTTTCCGCTTTCCATCTTCGTCCAAGTAACTTGTGCTCTTCCACTTGCATTGCCTTGCTCTCTCGGCCATCCCAAATTGATAACACAGGCAGGTCAGGACGGTGTGCACGGATATACGTGTCGAACTCTTCAGAGAGTAGGCGGAGATACACATTTTGGAGATCTAGATCCAGCAGCTTCCTATCGATGCTTTTTGTCCTTCTCGAAGTAGGTGGTCTTGTCACGAGGCCCATGATGTTCTCATGATCTGCTATATTCTCGGACGTAAGATGGGGTGTTCCAAGAAAGATGACGCCGACTGTGTTGTTGACGAGATTCTGATGCCATTGGGACGGAAAGCCTCGGAGCTCAGGACTACTAGACTTCCAGAAGAACTGGCCATCGTCAGCTTCATCTCTTCTTGATCCTTGGTTTAATAAACTCACATCTTTGATGAATATGCCTCCGATACCGTGGCCCAGAAAAACCATGGGTATGGACATTGCCTTCGTCTATCATCAATTAAGGCTCCGGCCTCTGTAGCATGGCGACTTACATTATTTTCTTCGCGATATTCGTAGATCAGCTGCATCATGGCGTGCGAACTGTCCCTGACTTGAGTCCACCGATTGAAGTCTTTCCCATTGACTGGTAAGCCATGTTCAAGTACGAGGACTTGTATATTCATGTAGTGTTTGGTGAGATCGCGCACAAGTGGCTCATCGCTAAAGCCATCTATACTCCAAATCTCGACGGCAGGATCACCCGTGCCTGGTACGATAACGACACTACACTTATGTTAACAGAAAGATCTCTCGTTCCAGGCCTCACTTACAATGCGTCAGGCTCCATCGTATGCGTGAGGTCGTTTGGCAAGCCCAGAGGCCTCAGCGTGCAGGCTTTTTGACGAATAATGGACGGATCTTTTGACCACGCCGGACTCATGGGGCTGGCACTGGCACTGTCTAAAGACAACTGAGAGAACGGCATCGCCCTAGTCCAATGGCCGCTAGGCGCCCTTGGGGATGTGTCTGATGTTGGCTGTGATGGTGATGCATTTGATAGGGTTGTGCCAGGTGAAAGAGTGAAGTCATCGACGGTTATCGGCCTATCGAAATACTCTTCAGTCTCTTGAAGGGAGTCTGTACTGTCCAGATCAGAGCGCAGTGTTACTGATCTCGTCGCATATGGTGGTGTCGCGCTGCCGGATCGGCGCTCTTCTTCCGAACTTCTGGGACTTCTCACACTTTCCACTCTTCCTGGGAGCGTTGAGGTATTGGCCTGGTTCAGAGTTGAGCCATCCAGTGACTCTTGAGACTGTGAAGGCTTCTTCTGTACCGTACTGTCAGTCGCTAGGTCGAAAGTAGATGAGTCTTTGGCAGGTGGTGATGGTTGCTCTACTAGGGTCGTAAGACCAAGAGCATTTCCGTGTGACTCTAGATCTACAGCATCGGCACCGCGTCGTGAAGATGCGGGGAATCGATCTTTGGCTGCAGTTCTGACAGAGTCGAGGGCTTTGAACACTATAGTAGACCTTTCCGCATCGCTCCAGGCCAGGGATGCCGCAGATGCGACAGTAGACGCTGTCTGCTGCGCCATGTTACGGAAAAAGTTAGTCGCGTTCTTGCCTTGTTCGTGTAGTGTAGAAGCTGGTCTATGCGATGTCAGCATGTTGGTTCTCTAAAACGAAAGAACGCCTGATCTCTTACCTCCGCGATTCAATCGAGTCTCTTTGAGTAGCCTCTTGTGCTTTAAGCCAGGGATCTTGGAGAGCTTCGGATGCTGTGGGACGGTTCTCAGGAATGACTTGCAAAAGTCTCTCCAGTAAGTCGCATCCTTTCCGTGAGATACTTTGCGCTTGCAGCACATGGTAAGGGAAAGGCGTTTTCCCCTCGACGTAGGACCCCAGATCTTTTGCGAAAGGCTCGCTGCCAGTGAGAGCCTGGAAAACTAGTGCACCCAAAGCCCATATATCTACGGCATCCGTGTATGATTTGCGTCCAGCGAGGGCCTTCCAATTAACGTGACCTTTTCTCATGATGACTTCGGGTGCCATGAAGCCATCTGTACCAGTATATGTACTGAGTGAAGCCGCGTCCTGCATACGCTTGCTGACTCCAAAATCGCCAAGCTTGACCCACCAGTTAGGGCTGCGCTCTTTGATCAGCACATTTTGTGGCTTCAGATCACGATGAACGAAGCCGTGGTCGTGCATACTCTTCAGTCCGTCTAATATCTGATGAGCAACGCATTGGGCTTCATGCTCTAGTAGTGGGCCGAACTCGTCAAAATGGCGGCTTAGATCGCCGTGGGGAAGATATTCCATCGAGATATATACGTGTTTGTCATCTTCGTACCATCCAAGCGACTTGACGAACGAATAGTTGAACTGTATTCATGGGCATGTCAGCCCCTCATAACCTGCTGGGCGGTGGCTTGAAACCGAATTGGAATTACTCACCTTGTCCTGAGAGAATTTCGCTATCGCATCCAGCTCATGGCTGTAGTCGACTGCAGACCTCTTCTCAATTTGCTTGACGGCTCGTTTGTCTGTGTCTTTGTCGCCGCCTCCTACCAGCTTCTGCAGCCAAACAGTCCCGAACGATCCCCGACCAAGTTCTTTGGACTGCTCCCACTTCTGCTTCTTCTTATTCTTTCCGAGAAGAGGAGTCGTATCCGGCGTCCGAACATGATGGATCGTGAATCCTTTCTTAAAGATCGTGTCCAGTTTGGAATCGGCCACTAACTCCGGCACTAGCTCCATAGCTCCGATATGCGTGGAAAGTGGGGCAGTCAAAGGGGAGGGAAGTAGCGAAGGCCTTGGAAGAACTAAACACAACACACAACACACGACAAAACCGGTATACGAGCAGCGCTGGAGCAATGCTGCGTGCGGAAGGTGAGAGAGGTGTGATGTATTTCGGAAGCAGCAGCAGCGTCATGATCCAACCCCAGCCTACCCCGCCGATGTACCCAGGTGGCACGGCAGGCACTGCCTATTCGCCCCCCAACTGCGCATAGGTGGTAGAGATCGACCCTGTACCTCTTCTCGTATGTATATTAACCAGCCTTGCGCCGTCATACACAGCCTGTTCTGCGTCTATTTGCAGCTTTGTCGGCCCCTCACTCTCAGCCACTGACGATTATCGCTACCCGTTTCGTCTGATCCTTGACAATACCCCTCCAATCTAGGCATTCCCTTTGCCCGTACCCTACAGTGCATCTGCTGTTACTCGCTTCTTTCTATAACTCTTCTTTGTTGATCGCGACCCTCAAGTCGACTCACGACAGTCTCGTAAGACTTCGCAATGTCGGTTGAAGTGGCCCTGGCAGTCGTCGCGACTGTTGACCTGGCAATAAAGTGAGTGTCTCACTTTCAATGCAACCTCCTACTAAAACTTGTCTCAGATATGGCGAACGCCTTGTCGACCTGTACAATAGCTACCGAAATGCCTCGGACGAGATCAAGGAGCGAGTGCTATTGATGAGGAACAGCTGGTTCCGAATACAGACCCAACTCCGATATCTCGAAAGGATCAAGACCATACAGGGTGAAGAGTTCAAGATCATGCAAGATCAGACGCTCAGAGTGCTGCAGATCAAGTTGGAGGCTGCGGTGGGTGAAGTGCAAAACCTTGAGAAGAAGCGAGACACCGCCACCACCACCAAAACGGCTGGTGCTACGACGAAGGAGACGAAATATCATAATTGGAAGTATCCTTTCGTCAAAAAGAGCCTCGATGCCGCCATAAGCGAACTGCAAAAGTGGCAGCAGGCTTTTGATCCATCCTGGTATCTAGCCCTGATGATGTCTAACCGGCTGATAGACAGCCATTTGCAGGACTTCTCCAAGAGCGATTCTGAGCTGCCACCAGTTGATCGCAATGTCATTTATTCTGCGATAGGAGTTCGCGAATCACTCAAACCAGAATCAGGCACCGGAGAGAAGAAGAAGGTGTTTCTACCAGACAACGCGACTTCGGGCTTTGTGCGCACGCCAATCTCATACTCAACAGCATTCTTGTGTCAAACGCCAGACAAAAGCCAAACCTTCATATTGGACTCCGTTCCAAGTCAACAAGGCATCAAGCCCGACATTCAAGTCGCAGACGTACGCGATCTCGCTCGCAAGCTAAATGGAGCAGACGCGCTTTCATTTGGCCTGCTCAGATGCTTTGGTGTCGCCAAAGTATGCAAAGATCGCAGAACCACCACGGCTTACGATTTCGTGTTCTATATCCCGTCCTCGGTGCGATCACCACAGAGTCTCCGCAACATATTGATCGAAGCAAAACCCAACGTCAGTCTCAGCACGCGCTTTCGCCTCGCACTTCAGCTCGCACGATCTGTTACCTTTGTCCACACTTACAAATTCGTGCACAAAGGCATCAGACCCGAAACAATTCTAGTCTTCGATGCTGAGAAGTCCGAGTACACACACTCATTCTTGGTTGGTTTCGAGAAATTTCGCGCGGCGGACGGAAGAACTGTGATGGCCGGCGACGCCGCCTGGGAGAAGGATCTGTACCGCCACCCGGAGCGACAAGGACTAAGACCAGAAAGCGAATACACGATGCAGCATGACATTTATAGCCTCGGTATGTGCTTACTGGAGATAGGCATGTGGCGCACGCTTGTCACATACAGCAGCACGAAAGAAGCAAGTCCGTCGCAACTCTTGCCGCCGCCGGGCTATACCGAGAAGAAGGAAGTGACCAAAGCTGCATCGCTCAAGGAAACGCTCGTCGGGATTGCGCAGCGCGAATTACCCAGCTGCATGGGCGACAAGTATACGGATATTGTCGTGACCTGTCTGAGATGTTTGGACGAAGACAATCCCGAATTTGGCGACAAGACCCAGTTCGAAGACGAGGATGGCATAACCATTGGGGTGCGCTACATTCAGAAGGTTAGCAACAAGACCCTCGCACAACTGGTACAGTACTAACTAGATGGTCAGATCCTGCTTGGACTGAGTAACATCTCGGTCTAGATGGTCATGACACGCGACCCTCACAGCCAAGAAACGTTGCAAAATCCCGTTCGGAATGCGACGCATAGATACCGTAGTGCGAGACAATATCACCGCCATCACCTCAGTCCTTCTCCCGTGTGGAATCCATGAGCTGAAATAGCGCCACGTGATCAACGACGTGTTCCTCCAGCTGTTGCTTCTCTTAACGTGCGTCGTCGTTCAACCACTTGACGCTTCTAGTCACCGCCCTTTAGGAACCCTCTTTCACCGCTTTGACATGATCAAAGTGAACGCGCCCGCGCATAAGAGGGGGTCTGCCGTGCATGCTGTTGAGCGATTGAAGTGTGCAAATAGCTTTGTTGCTTGAAGCAGGTGCGGAAACTCTATGTCAAGTGCCTAATGCTATGTCAAGACAAAAAAACAGGGTTGGTGTCTAAATCTCGGTCGAGTCAGTGCAGAGGAAGGACGTTCGATGGCGACCATTGTCACTGGTTATCCACCTCACAATGTACCTTACCGAGGTTCCTCGCGAGGAGACGATTAGAGCTTGAGCGCGGAAGACAGGAGAAGAAGTTCGATGGCGCTTCTACCTCCGAGATCCGATCGATATACTAAAAACAGAGCATAAACATACAACAGCGGGGATACCTTGGTACTTACCTACCCAAATACGAAATACGCCGGTACGATGCCGGGCTTTCAACCTTTTGCATTGACGATATTCTCGAATTGGTCGTCCAAGCAATGCAGCAGCACTGCCAGCAGCTGCTGAAATCCACCTTTACGAGTGGAAGTAACATCGTCTTGCGATCTTCCATCGTATTCGACTGGACGCGACCACGTCTGTCTCCCAACGCGAATGTCTACACCGTTAGTTTCAAAGGGCATATCCTCGGCATGAATGTTTTCTGGAGACGACATTGCTGTATCTATTTTGAGCGCATGCCGGCCGAGGCCGCCACCAATCAGAGCTCGATAAGGGGCTGCGCTTTACCACTTTCGGATACATGCCAAGGACTTCGGCCCTATGCCGTGGCAATTATGCGTCATTTCCGCCCAAAATCTTCTAGACGGTCATGGGATGGGGGCGCGCCACAGCCGGTGCTTGCCATTGCAGGGTCACAAAACTGGGGATACGATAATTACCCGACTGGATGAAGTCATAGCGTTGCACTTTGGTCGTCGGCGCCGAGGGTGGGCATTGTTCAGCCTCGTTGAGCACCGGCATGATGTAGGACAAGGGGAGGAAATACGAGATGGCATTTGGATATAAGAGAGATGGGATGCTGCTCTCTCTAAGCCATCATCCAAACATCATCTCATCAACACTACACTAATACTTAATCATCACAACTACCACTTCCACACTCCAACAACACCACCTTAAACCATCAACATGAAGTTCACCGCCGCCGCCGCCATCGCCTCCATGGCCGCCATCTCCTCCGCCCTTCCCCAGGCCTCCGTCTTCCCTCGCCCCGAGGCCGGCGATGTCTTCCGCCTGATGTCTCTCCGCTCTGCCACCCCCATCCAGTACGGCGCCGTCCAGGCCGCCAACGGCAGCCTCCTCATCAACACTCCCTCCGAGAACAACAAGACCTGCGCCATCAACGGCGACCGCGAGAACGTCACCAACGGCATCAACTACGCCTCCTTCACCCTCGACGAGGAGACCGGCAGCGTCTACATCTACACCTTCAACCCCCCTCTCCAGCTCTACGTCGACCGCAGCGGCATGGGCCAGGGCAACGTCCGCTACTCCACTGGTGTCCAGCCCATTGGCAAGAACCAGGAGCGCGGCCCCTTCAAGATCGACGACGACGGTAACCTCGTCTTCGCTGCTGGCGGTCTTTCCGGCGATGTTGGCTTCCAGGCTTGCCCTGGTGCTGTTGGCGGTGGCTGGAAGGTCTGGCTCTCTGGTGTTGACAAGCCTGCTGGTTCCGAGGGCTGCACTCCCTTCACCATGAAGGCGCTCAAGGAGGAGACCACCTACAAGTGCCTCTACTCTTCTTAGATGCTTAATGCTGAGCTGGTGGAGATCGTTCGACATTGTACATATTACCATCGCATTTGAGCGTTTGCATAGCTTCTTGTTTATAGACCGATAGAATTGGAAATGATAATGTTATCCATACACCTTCATACACACACCGCGTTCCTTTTTGCTGTACTTCATGACTTTTAATCGGAAGCTTCAGTCCTGGAGAGATGCTGACAGCGGCTCGGTGTAACACGGCCGGACTCAATGGTAGTCGGAGCGCTACTCGGAGTCTCTAAGATTACCCCTTCAAGGATGGCAATACTCACTGGACCATGGAGCGACCGGAACGATATGGAAAGAAGGCATGCAATGGAATCTTACGCGAACACATGAGACTAGTCATATCAAACAAGTGAAAAAGACTGAACAGGTCTAGAGACTACATCGACATAAGAACATGCAAAGCAGGTGACCTAACGTCGATGTAGGCTCCAGGATGTTTGGTTGTTTTCTGGGTTGACGTGTGACTGCCGGATTTAGGAAGTGTCTTAACCTAGCGTGAGTCACTTTCCTCTCATCCAAGGATGCCCAAGCAACTCCTTCGCGGTCCACCGATCCTCCGGCCTCCACTGCAACATGCACCTCACAAACCGCAGAAACTCCTCTTTCTCTTCCCCATGCAGATTCTCTTCAGATCCCTCCAACGACAAGCCTTGCGGTATGTCAATCTCGGTTATCCAGTTACCTTCACCATCGAAGAATTCTTTACTCCGCGCTCCTCTCTCTAGCATGTCTATTGGCGGCGGAC